CCTGCAGTTCTTTCAGCTGAGGTTTCCCCGAAAATAGATTCTGCGAACAAGACTCAGGAGAGTGATGTTGCCATTGAGACGGTGAATATTGAAGGGGGTGGAACCCTGGAGACTGGAGCCGTGGGAGATGTGGTTAAGGAAGCTTCTACTTCTTAAGAAGTTGGAGCTGCCTCTACTTTTCCTTCCTAAGACGGCCTGGACAAGATTGTGGATGCTGCTCCTGAGGTTCCTTCCGTTAATAAAAGCTAAAGTCTTCTTTGGAATGATTCGAAGTTTCTGTTTTTTCTGACTTTCTTTTGTTATCAAGTTTCTGATGTACTACGGCTTGGTCTTCTTTGACGAGTTGCCCCTTTATGTTTGCCAAGACAAATTTTCTTCTTTTCTTTGTTGCTGGTTGTGAGGCCATCTGTGCCTTTGTTGGATGATGGAATTTTCCTTTTGATTTTGCAATCTGATGCTTTCTTACTTTTAAGTCTAAATGTTTTCTGTACTGTTTGCCCTCGGCCGAGCACTATTGGGACCTCAGGGCCGAATAGATGCTCGGTCTGGTTAACGAATACGTTGCATGGCTGTGCTTGGTTTTGTAATGAAAGAAGAGGGTCTTACTTAGGTTCAGGTTGGTTCTGAAAAACAATTGTTTGCCCCTACTAGAGCTAAGTAAGATCAGTACTGAAGGCTGTGTTCTTTAGGTGGAGCTGCTTAAGTCTGTTGCAACTTTGATAGCATAAGTGCATTTGAATGAGATAAAGGTATAAAGAGGTGTGTTACTCAGATCCAGGTTGGTTTTGAAAAACAATTGTTTGCCTCCACCTGGAGTTGAGTAAGACTAGTGTTGGAAGTTTGCTCCTGATAGAGTTTAGCCAAGTTTGTTCCAACTCTGTTTGTACGTATCAATACTGAAGTGTTGATGTAACGATACTTAAGAAATTCTGTGGGCTTAAGAGATGTTTACTTAAAGTATGTTAGTGCGGTTTCCACCAAGCAATTTCATTTGGCTAAAGTCCAATTTAGTTGTCAAACATAATTCCACCAAGCAATTCCACTTGGCATGTTTGAGTGCTAACTAAAATTAAATTCCATTTAATCATTCTGAAACTAAGTCCGTTTGGGTTAAGACCAAAGCTGAATTTGTTTGATAAACATCAAAGCTAATTCCGTTTGATAAACATCAAAGCTATTTCCATTTGGTAAGTACCAAAGCTAATTCCGTTTGATAAACATCAAAGCTAATTCCGTTTGGTAAGTACCAAAGCTAATTCCGTTTGATAAACATCAAAGCTATTTCCGTTTGGTAAGTACCAAAGCTAATTCCGTTTGATAAACATCAAAGCTATTTCCGTTTGGTGAACACCAAAGCTAATTACAAAAATTTGATAAATTTGAGAGAAGTGGGGAGGCGTATGCATTGATCAAGAGATAAATGTCTTTACATTCTGATAGAGAAGTTGAGGTATAATTCTATTGATAGTATTTCTTGAGATTTGCAACATTCCAGGGCCGATGTATGGCTCTGCCTTTGAGATCCTCTAAGTAGTAAGCTCCATTTCCAGCAACATCTGTAACTTTGTACGGACCTTCCCAGTTAGGCCCAAGTTTTCCTTCACCAAGCACCCTTTTGTGATCCATAACTTTCCTCAAAACCAGTTCTCCAGGTATGAATTGCCTTAGGAAAACTTTTTGGTTGAAACTGTTGATGAGCTACTACTGATATGCTACGAGTTTGATCAGTGCTGCTTCTCTTCGGCCCTTCGCCATATCCAATGCTTGTGCGATAGCTTCCTCATTACTCGTGCTTTCAAACAGTTCAGACCGGAGGGTTGGGAGACCTACTTCGAGTGGGATAACGGCCTCCATTCCATAAGTTAGAGAGTAAGGTATTTCTCTCATTGAGCCGTGCTGTGGTTCAGTAAGCCCATAGTACGTGGGGTAACTCTTCAACCCATTTTCCTTTTACGTGTTCAAGCCGCTTCTTTACTCCATTGATGATGGTTTTGTTTGACGCTTCTGCCTGGCCATTACTTTGTGGGTAGCCTAGAGAAGAATTTCGATATTCAATTCGGAGGTTGGCACAGAACTTTCTGAAGATCTTTCCATCAAACTGTGTTCCATTATCTGTAATCAATACCCGCGGGATGCTGAAACGGACCACGACGCTTCTTATGACAAACCGCTTTGTGTCCGTTTCTTTGATACTTGCCAATGCTTCGACTTCAACCCACTTAGTGAAATAGTCGGTTGCTGCGATGAAGAATCGCCTGTTCCCAGTACCTCAAGCCAACGGTCTGACAATATCCAGACCCCATTGGGCAAAAGGCCATGGGCTGGTGAGTGGAGTGAGAGTTTTGGCTGGCTGATGAATTAGTGAAGCAAACCTCTGACAGCTATCACATTTCTAGACGTACTGTTGTACATCTTCTTGCATCCGTGGCCACCAATACCCATGAGTGAGGGCTCGGTGCGCCAGTGACCTTCTACCAACGTGGTATCCACAAATCCCATCGTGAATTTCGTAGAGAACATTCTCGACTAGATTTGGATGTACACATAGAAGATAAGGACCGAGATAGGAAAGTCTATATAGCTTCCCAGATGGTGAGACCCAGAATCGAGCTGACCTATGTCGGATTTTGTTGGCTTCCTTTTTATCTTTGGGGAGAGTGCCAGATTTCAAAAAAGTAAGTATCGGATCCATCCAGCTTGGCTCTAGATTGCTGCAGAGGACTGGAGATGCGATGCTTGGTTCTGGCACAAATTCAACCCAAACTCTTCTAGCGTCTTTGGTATCCATTGATGAGCCAAGGTAGGCCAGAGCATCAGCATGGCTATTTTTGTCCCGACTGATTCGTTCCACTCGTATGGATTGAAATTTTTTGAGTAGATCCTTGGCCTTGCCTGCATACATGGCCATTCTTTTGTCTCGTGCTTCATAGACCCCGAAAAGCTGGTTTACCACCAATTGGGAGTCGCTGAAAACAAGAAGTTGCTCTGCACTGAAGTGTTCGGCACTGCGTAAGCCAGCCAATAGTGCTTCGTATTCTGCCTCATTGTTAGAAGCCTTCCAGCCGAGCCTAAGAGCCTACTCCCAAATAAATCTTTCTGGTGACTTCATAGACCCCGAAAAATTGGTTTACCACCAATTGGGAGTCGCTGAAAACAAGAAGTTGCTCTGCACTGAAGTGTTCGGCACTGCGTAAGCCAGCCAATAGTGCTTCGTATTCTGCCTCATTGTTAGAAGCCTTCCAGCCGAGCCTAAGAGCCTACTCCCAAATAAATCTTTCTGGTGACATAAGTACTACCCCTGCTCCCGAACCTCGGTTATTGGATGATCCGTCGACATAAAGCTATCGGATATTTCCAATAAAGAGTTTTCATGCTTCTGAAGCGCATTGTTTTCCTAGTTCGGTGGTGCGTGGCGCCTATGCCGAACTGGAGTTCTCAGGCTCGGTACTCTGGGTGGGAGCGAATTCTGCGACGAAATCTGCTAAGACCTGGGCCTTGATTGCTGTCCTGAGTTGATATCGAATGTCAAACTCACCAAGCTCTACAGCTCATTTTATTGTTCAGCCAGAGAAATCAACTCGGCTGAAGACAGATCTAAGGGGAAATTCAGTGAGGACATTGATAGTATGCCCCTGGAAGTAATGTTGTAACTTTCTTGAGGCGATAAGCAATGCGTAAGCTAACTTTTCCAAGCGTAGATACCGTGTCTCGGCATCTAGTAGAGTCTTGCTAACATAGTATACTAGCATCTGCTCCTTGTTAACTTATCGAATCAATATCGCGCTTACGGCGTGATCTAAGACTGCTAGATATAGGTACAGCTCCTCCTCTGGTTCTAGAGTGGACAGAAGAGGTGGTGTACTGAGGTATCTTTTGAGACTTTGTAATGCTTCGGTGCACTCAGGACTCCATTCAAATGCTGCCTTTTTCCTCAGTAGCTGAAAGAAGGGCTTCATCCGATCTGAAGACTTGCTGATGAACCGATTTAGAGCGGCCGCCATTTCAGCCAATTTCTGTAGCTCTTTAGCCTTTGTTGGTACTTCAAGCTCTTGTATCGCTTTGATTTGATCCGGATTTGCCTCGATTCCTCTGTGAGTGACCATGTACCCCAAGAACTTCCTTATTCCTACCTTGAAAGCGCATTTCGAGGCATTAAGGCGAAGCTGATGGTTTTTCAGGATGCCAAAAACTTTTTTTAAGTCTGCAAAGTGGTTTGTAGCGAGCTTGCTTTTCACTACCATATCATCTATATAAGCTTCCATGATTTTGCCAAGTTGGTCTTTGAACATTCGAGTGATCATTAATTAGTAGGTTACCTCGGCGTTCTTGAGGCTGAACGGCATTACTTTGTAGCAATAAGTGCCCCTTGGAGTGATAAATGATGTGTTTTGCTGATCTGGGCCGACCAGTGGTATCTGGTGGTAACCGCTATAAGCGTCCAGAAAGCTCATACACTCATGCCCTGCTGTTGAATCTACTAGTTGATCAATGCGAGGTAGAGGAAAACTATCCTTGGGATAGGCTCTGTTCAAGCAGGTGAAGTCAACACAGACTCTCCATTTTCCATTCTTCTTTTTAACTACAATTGTGTTGGACAACTATTGTGGGTACTGAACTTCTCTGATTGCTCTTGATGCTAGGAGTTTTTCGACTTCAGTAATTACCACTTCAGTGTGCTCAACTGAGGATCTCTAATTTTTCTACACAACAGGCCGAGCTGAGGGATTGATGTTGAGTTTGTGGCACGCAAATTCTGGGTTCAACCTTGGGGTATCATATGCTGACTATGCGAATACCTCCATATTTTCCCTCAACAATTCCAGCAGCTGAAGTTTCTCATCAGCGCCTAGCGAGGTATCGATAAGGAAGTACTTTTCTAGATCATTCTCTTTTACCATGACTTTCTCCAAGTCCTCTACCATCTTTTCCTCTGGGGCTCCTCCTACATTTTCTAAGACTGGTTGTTAGGCCACTTCCATTGTCTGTACCCGGTTGCAAAGTTATTTAGCCTTCATTGTTGCCATGAAATAATGTTTGGACGCAACTTGGTCCCCTGCGATCTGCTCTACTCCGTGTTCCGTTGGGAAATGGATGAGCTGGTGGTAGGTTGAAGGGACTGCCTCCATTTGGTGAATCCATGGTCGGCCGAGTATGGCGTTGTAAGGAGAATGCGTGTTAATAACTAAAAACTCTATCTGGAGGGTTTTCGTTCCTGCCATAGCCGGCAACACTATTCTGCCAAGTGGCCACTCTGGCTGTGAATTGAAGCCGACTAAGGGAGCTGCAGCTGGGGTGAGGTGTTGCTCAGAGAGACCGAGCTTTCTGAACAAGTCATAATACAATATGTCTGCTACATTGCCTTGATCTACTAGGACTCGTTTTACGTCAAACCATTTCCTAATTCCCACAGTTATAATCAGTGCATCAGTATGTGGGTGTTATATGCCTTCTAAATCCTTTTTAGTAAACGAAACAGTGCACAAAGGGGACTTGGGTACTGTGCGTACCTTTTTCGATGCGGGCTCTACTAACATGACCTGCTGAATTTGCACAGCCTTAGCAATTTCTTCTTCTAGTGCCTCTTCGCGCTTTTGGGTCGTTGTTCCATGAATCACATTTATTACCAATCGAGGTGGGTGCTCGTTGTTCGGTTCTTGTGGTGGGTTCCTCGGTTCGGCCACTACTTTATCCTGATCAATGTAGTCTCGGAGGTGTCCAGCTGCTACTAGGTCCTCCAGGTGTTGCTTCAGTACTCTGCAATTCTGAGTCATATGCCCCATGTCTTGGTGATAAGTGCATCTAAGCTTTTGATTACGCCGAGCCGGACCTCCCAACATTTTCGGCGGCCAAATAAAGAAGGGCTCTCTCTTGATCTTTTCCAAGATACGATAGATTGGTTCTTTGAATACGGTCACGACTGCTTCGTGAGATTTGGACTTGTCCACCTTATTCACTGTGAGTCCCCGGTGTTCCCCTCAGTTCGTTCTCTTCTTGTGCAGAGCTGTTTGTTCTACTAATGCTACCTCGATGGGGATCTGGTCATCTTCGAGGCGAGCGTACTGCTCAATCCTGGCACACAAATCCTTCAGTGCTGTGGTCGGGCGCTTGGTAAGTGACTGTCTCAACTTACTTTTCGGGCGCAGACCATGTTTGAAGGACATAACAGCCATCTGCTCACTGCAAACGATTTCTTCTAAGTCATTGTACTCTTCCCAATACCTCCTAGCATAATTGCACAACATTTCTTCTTGTTCCTTTCGGAGGCCGAACAGTGTATCCGGCTCTTTTAGGATCTTAGTGTTGGAAACGAACCTGGCTAAGAACTCTTCGGAGAGCTGCTTCCAGTCATCCAGCGGGGAGTCGATTGAACCATCGGAGTCCGGACTCTCCCAAGCTAGATGGGAAGACTTTGCATATCAGTGCTTCGTCTCGGCTCCATAGGGACATTATCTGTCTATAAATCTTGATGTGCGTCAATGGATCTGACTTCCCATCGTACGACGTGAACTTTGGCGGGGTGAATTTCTTAGGAGGTCTCATGGCCTCGATTTCAGGGGAGAATGGAGAGGAGACAAGCCTATCCAACACTCAGTGCTCTCTCTGGTGGATGGTACGGTCTAGATGATCTCGTTGTTGCTCATTATGCTTGTTGCCAATTAACCAAATACGAAGGTCTTGAGGAGGGTACTCAGTCCTTTGGCTAACTGTATTCTGCCTCTTAGCCCTTCTCCGGCGTGACCCACGGGTGTGGCTGCTCGCCGCCTCACTTTATACTGGGATTGGCTGGCTCTGTTGCCCAGATTCATTTTTGGGGATCTTCTTCACCGGTGGTTCTTTGGACGAGCTTCTCTGTCGCAGGTGAGAGGGCTCTACGTCAGTCCTCTTCTCCGTCGGATCGCCCAGTACCCTTTTTAGTTGCACTTTCAGCTCCTGTATCTCCATCCCCATAGAGTCTATGATTCGATCTCTGTAATCCTTTTCCAGAAGAAAGTGATGGGAAAAACCTCCAGCGAAGGGCAATCGATGCTCAACAGATTCGAGAGTCCAGTTATTGTTCTCGATTTGTTCTTCTAAGACTGTTGGGAGTGCCAAGCCTTTGTCCTTTGTCTTCTCCGTCTGCGGAGTATGTGCCGTAGGTGGGACGTCCTCAATCCCCATCGCCATAATCGAGTGTAGAGCTCTAAAACAAAGCGTCCATGTTCACTGCACCAATTGTGCATACCGGATACCGTACTAGATGAAAGTGGATCGAAGCTTCACACTCAGTTGGACTATCCAAGGAATGAGGTCCCTGTAGCAAGAAGCACCGTAAGAGCTGTCCGGTCGGGGTTGGCCGGATAACCCCTCCGGTGTGGGAATCAATGATCGGAGAAGAAGTAAAGTGCTCTCTAAGTGTAGAGAGTTGAGTTTTAGTAAGGCGGGTTCCGCTTGGTTTAGTTACCTTTAATGTGAAGTTCATGTAGTTTATATAGAACTCCTTGCTTGTTTCCCAAGATGGTTTCATGGAGCTCTGGTGCTGCCAAGTGTCCTTTTAGCATTGCTCAAGGTGGGGGACCATCTGGCAATTGTCTAAGGATGCATATACTCATTGTAGTCATATTGATAACAAACCACATTCATTTGGTTCAATTGTTTCCGTGATTCTAGGTGTAGGGACCAGTTGAGGTGGTAACCTGCACATGCATATACTCACAGCTTCCACGTTTCTCTGAGAGGTTCCCTTTTCTCGGTACCATTGTACCTTAGCTCAATACTGATGTGCCTCAACTCGGCCTTTTGCAAGACTATTGTAGGGTTGGGCTAGCCTATTCGGATATCTGTGTATGGACTCGGCCCACTTCGGTTCTGATGATGGGTTCAGCCTATCAGTTCGGCCCATAGAATGAGTCCTGCAGCTCGGCCCTAGCCTAGTATCGCAGCTGGAATGGCCTTTCCACTGCGAGTTGGGCCCAAGTGCTTGAGGTCTTGGGTGAACTATTAGTAATGGAGTTGGGCCTAGTTGGATTGGGAAGATTGGACCGGCTCAAGGCTTGGATTCGACCCATTTCGTATTTAGCCCCTTATGATAACCCTCACCTCTAATTAATGTTAAACTGTGTTTGAGCATGATAAGTAACTGATTAGAATGAAATCCTGAACTGACTGCATGAGTGTATTGTTTTAAATGCATTTCTATCTGTTTGATTACTGAATGATCTGTTCGTGTTTTTATTTCGAATTGCGAATTGAAAGCCTTATCGGCGACCGATTCAGAAACTGATTAATGTTATTTGCTAATTAGGATTTATAGGATTTTATGGTAGGTTTAATTGAAATATGATTTGGATTGATTAAATTAGATTAAATAATGTTAAATTACATTAGTTTGAATTTATTACATGTTTGCCATTAGTGGACCACTTTAGAGGCATCTTTGGGGCTTAATTCATACACTTTGTTTAGCACCATTCTTCAGCCACTTTCCAAGACCAAACGTGAGAGAGAGAGAGAGAATTGGGAGAAAAATTGAATTCATCTAGAATTCTTGCTTGAACTTAGAGGAATTGAAGAGAATTGGCAAAATTGAGCTAGCACACTTAGAATTCAAGACCTAAGGTAGGAAACTCACCCTCTTGAACATGAATTTGAGTTGTTACATGCATGGTTCATGAGAAATTAGTGATTTGAGTCAAGAATTAGCTTAATGTGTTAAATTAAGAGTCCATTTATGCATGCATGTCCTTATGTTGGAGTTTTGAGGTTGTTTTCATGAAAATTCTTACATGCATGTCCATATTTTGATTGTAGTCCATGAATTCATCATGATTTCGAGCTTAAGCTTGCATTTGATTATGTTTTAGAGCATTGGAGTTCATAGGAACTCATGCATGTGATGTTCTTGCATTATTCTTCAAGTTTCATTCAAAACTGTGTTCAATTATCACACCTTTGGGCTTGATTTTATAAAATGATCTTTGAAACATGTTGTACTATGGGTTTCTAAGTGTTTTCCAGAAAATTAGCCCAAAAGAATCAAATTTGAAGCTTTAGAAGTTGAGTTTTGTGCTTGAGGATCAATCTGGAAATTCTAGATTTTGGATCTACGCTCGAGCGGAGGACTTCACGCTCGAGCGTACACTCTGAGTACATGCACTTCCGTTCGAGTGAAGAAAGTCATGCTCGAGCGTAAAATGCATATGCTCAGAAGTTCATGTGTTTTACAGTCTGCTTGAGCGAGAGAATTCACACTCAAGCGAAGGTCTGAGTCTCACGCTCGAGTGGAGGTCGAGCGTCCGTCGAGCGTGAATATCATGCAACCAGTACTTTTCATGAGTTTGCAACCCGCTCGAGCGATGGAAGTCACACTCGAGCGCAGCTTCATTGTCTGCATGTCCGCTTGAGCGTAGAAAGCCACGCTCGAGCATGGACCCCTGTTTCAGCAAATTTTGAAAAGTGTTTTAAAGTACATTTTTGCATCCTCATTTCATCCTAGGCATTCCTAGGTCAAGTTTAAGGCATCTTAATGAGGATAATGTTATAGAACCACACCAAGTCAAGTTTAGGGGCTAAGCTATTAATCCCAAGTATGTAACTTAGTGTGTGTTCGTTTTGCAACTGTGTAGGGTTGGCACCCGAGGACGCTGTCTAACCTGTCTTTAGCCCAGTGCTCTGTGAGTAACAATGTTGTAAAGATACGTTCAATTATAATTATTTCTGAACGATTGACTGTACCGCTTTCTGAAATGACATTACTTACTGAATGAATGTTTGTCCTATTTGTAAACTGTACTCGTGGCATCCATAACAACTTACTGTTACTGTACTGTTACTGTTATAGAGATCTCTGTCAGTTCCAACGTTTGGAACTGCTACTGTTTACTGTTCTGATGGCCATCAATTGACTGTTCGGTCTATTAAGACCTACTGTACTGTTTTGCTATTGGATGTACCGCATATGACTACTATGGTTTCTAAATGACTGATATGGCATGAAATATGAGCCACTGATTGAATAACTGATTTACTGATGCAAATGACTGTTTTAATTAATGAAAGGACATTCATTCTTAATCCCTTTACGCATTTGTTATTCACTGGGCTTTAGCTCACTGTTTATATTTATATGTAGGTGTCCAGGCACCGAACCGAAGCTAGGAGCGTCAAGTTAAGCTCCCTTTTTGTCGAGCCAGCCATTGTGCCTCACTTCGAGGCTCCGAGTTCATTCAAGCTAAGGCTGTTTTGGGGTGTTCAGGATCACCCTTTTTGTCTCCGTTATGTATTGAATGTTATGACTTGACTGTACAGTTATGGTGAAGGGATTTGGTCCCTAGCCTGGATGTTTGAGTTTATGATGTAAATATATATGTTTTGATTATGAATGTGGCTTGTTCATAAAAGTTTTTTTCCATTCAGATTTCACAGCTCATTGGACATCTTTTTATTTACTGTTTGGCTTTTGCCAGCCCCTTACTCTGTATTACTGTCATTACTGTCAAGCAGGCCTTTGGTAATCACGGATTACTGGCCGGTTGCGATGCTAAACCCATAGGGGTGGGTTTGGGTCGTTACAGAGTGGTATCAAAGCGATATCATAGCACGAGTTATCCCGCACACACGTGTCCAAATAAGCTACAAGATGTCCTAGAAAAGTAATTAGGGCATTGCATGAGCATGAAAAAGTGTGTGTGGCCATGATATGAATATATATGCTAATGTGCTAATGTACTTAAGTCAGCAACTTCCTATGTTTATTATTACCATATTGCCTATAGTGAAATGGAGAATGCAAGAAATGCCGATG